TTTTTTTTTTTTTTTTGGGCTCTCATTTTGCCCTTGTTGGAGTCCATATTATCAAAAAATTGTTTTTCTTTTTACATTTAATTTTAAATACATAGTTTTTTAATAAAATAATTTTACATGTAAACTTAAAATGTCTTCCTACTTTTATTATAAATTTTCTAAGGAAAAAAAAATCAATATTACAATTTTTTTTTTTTCAAAAAAGGGCTCAAACAAAGCCTTGATATATAGTGTTTAATTTAACCTTTGTTTATTCCCCATTATTTTCAAAATACATTTCTCTCTTTCTTTTCCTTTCAATCATACATTTTTCAATAAAATAATATTACACGCAAGCTCAATTTTTTTTCTTATTTTTCAAAAACACATTTTCCATCAATCTACTACTCCAAAATACATTTTTCAATAAAAATGAGGCTCAAACTAGCTGCTAACTTGATCAATATGTTAAAGTATATACTGAAGTAACACCTATATTCGATTGATGAGAAAGATTTTAATTGGTGGTGAAGGCTTCGAGAAGAAGGCATAGGTTGATCTTTTATTGCTTAGAATTCATCTTAGGATGCACATCAATTTGATAGGATATCTTGCGATTAGTATTTTGAGAGAATTTTTTTAAATACTTTTTATTTTGTATACGTGGTGAATTGTTTTTGGCAATCCACTAAAGCAATTGAGATGATGCTCCAAGGTTTCAATATTTAGTTGATTTGATAGGATCTCTTGCAATTTGTATTTGAGAGAAATTATTTCAAATACTCTTTATTTTGTATATGTGGTGAATTGTTTTTAGCAATCCACTAAAGCAATTGAGAGGATGCTCTAAGGTTTCAATATTTAGTTGATTGAATAAAACTATAGAACTTTGAGTTTTATATTTGTTCGATCTTGTTGAGAATTAAAAACATTTTTATGCTACAGAACAATTAAAATCGCTGATAAACAACAAAACAAAACAAAAACATGCAAGATTTATAGATATTTGTCTCAATGTAAAACTACATTCTCTTCCACCATTGCAATAATTTTTTATGATGAAAAGAAAGTTATGATAGAAAATCGTACATCCTATTTGGCCCCTATTTGAGCCCCATTTTTTTTTGGAGATAATGTATTATTGGAATAGTGTTTTTTTTTTGGACAATAGTGGTTAAAAAATAGGAAAAATTTTAAATTTACGTATAATATTATTTTATGAAAAAATGTGTGGTTGAAAATAAATTTTAAAAATAATGGAGCTCAAACAGGGGCTTGATCCTCCTCAATCGATTCTTGTACTAGCTTTACGCACTAATAATAACTGACTCCAGAACTTAAACATTGTTTATTCTAAATTTTTTTGGAACTTGTTGACCTCAAAAGGTTGAGACCAACAAATCCATCCCTAGGACCTTTAGATCGGAGCGCCGGGAAACTACCTTCCCGACGAATTGCCACTGTCAATGGGTTTAGAAAACGAACAAGAATTTGTTTAATCAAGTATCCCCACTCGTGCCCTCCTAGGATCATTTTATTTCATGTAGATTTACGAAGTAACATAACCAACAAATATTCTAATCAAATCAATCTAAGTTAAAAACCAAGTTCTAATAGCTCTCAAAAATAGTTGCTTCAACATGTTGAATGCCACTAGGATTATAGGCATCGACGAGGTCTCACCAACTTTGCCCGATGGGGTTACATCATTATTGACGTTGTTCGATGTATCTACTCGTATAGTCATCGTAACTTTTTTGTAGTTGTTCTCATTGATAATGCCAATGATGATATCAAAAAATCAGTTGTGGATTGCTGAAGCATGACCTCAAAATATGCTTACAAACATCTAAAATGAAGGTGTCAATAAAAATGGTTTCGTTGCCCTTTTGATGCTTAAATGAGCAAGAGGCAGAAAAAAGAGTAATGCTACATGTACATAAGCATCTACATAAGGGTTCACATAATTACACGTGACATATAATCCAACCTTTAATTCAAATTTTACACTTATACATCAACAACTGGATGATTGACATATCACCATTATGTGCACCATTATGTGCATCATTATGTACCTCTAGCATTATTCCAAAAAAAAATGTAAATTATACATGAAAAATGTATCTCAAAAGTACCGAAGGTAAATAGTCCTTTCGTACTTGTTTTAGGCTTATGTCTCTCCCTCGTCGGCCTAGCCTTGGCTGAATGTTATCATCGTCGGACATACTTTTGGGCGAATTGGAGTCTTGTTGTGGTGTCATCCAATGGGTTGAATCATAGTTGGATTCAACCACAGTAGTTGATAAATATTAAGTTTGTGCGAGCAAAATACTGATATAACCAATAACAACGGATGATTGTGCCTTGAGCCGGATGCCATCCATTGACCCCTCGAACTTCTAAACTCTCAAGTGTTGGAGCAAGAGTCATGCTTGATGTCTAGTTGAAACTGAATTCGATCATCTATGTTATCATGATCAATGATCACTAGCGATTCCGATTTCAACATTAGAAATGCAAGAGCCTCTCTATCATTATTATTTTTCAATACAACAAAAAGAATTTTAACTATATAATAAAATTGCTAATATTCAAAAATTTTCTTTCGATTTCTAGCAAAATGATGTAACACTATCCACTTTACGAAATAAGATGCCTATCAAGTTTTAGAGAGCCAAAACTAATAAGAGTTAATTATTCAAACAAAAAGGAAAACCAAGTATCTTTCTACTAATCGACCCCTCGACTTTTATACTGTATAACTCAACTCATTTTACACACATCGATGACCGATGAACCCAATTAAGGGTAAAAATTAAATTACATTTTCTTTCAAAAAGAAAAGACCACCAGCCCGGATCTTTAGCAACCATGTTAAGAGACAAAACTTCTTCCGAGTAAAGCCAAAAGCCACTGCTCAGTGCCTC